TAATATAAAATATTTAAAACTGGATAACAATAAAATGTTACCTATCAAAATTTATAGCACAAACTGAGGCGATATTTAGAAGAAACTTTATAATCACAAATACTTCTATTAGAAGGAAGACCAAAGATAAACTGTCTAGGCGTCCAGCTCCAGAAAGAAGTGCAAGATGGCTCAGCCTGACAACTTGAGTTCACTTCTTGGGACCCACAGGGTGGAAGGAGAGAACTGACTCATTCAAGTTATCTCTGACTGCCACAGCCATACACTGTGGCATGCACACACACCCTGCATAAATAAGTAAATAAATACATAAATAATTTTTATGTGTATGAGTGTTTCACCTACATGTATGTAAGTGCACCTATGCATAGAATGCCCATGGAAGCCAGAAGGAGGTGTTGGATCCCCTAAGCTGGAGTTATACACAATTGTTAACTGCCATGTGGGTGCTAGGAACCAAACCTGGGTCCTCTGCAAGAGCAGCCAGTGCTCTAGCTGCTGGGTAATCTCTCTAGCCCTGATAATTTTATTTTATTTTTTAAGAAAAAAATTGGTCTATTTCTGAGGTGGTACATTCAGTGCAGGAAATGGCTTTTTTATAATTGACACTAGAATAATGGTTAATCCACATGAGGAAATAAATGAAAATTGATTCCTAGTTTTCATCATTCACAAAATGAATGCCACATGGGTTCAAAATGTGGAACCCAAAAGTTCTAAACTTTTAGGAAGAAAATATGGAATGTCTTTATGTACATCAAGGAAAAGAAGGACTTTTGTTTTTGCTTCTTTATGGTTTTATTTTTTCTTTCACTTCCCTACATAGCGCAGGTTGGTCTTGAACTTGTGATCCTCCTGCCTCAACCTCCAAAGAACTGGGACTATACACCACCATACCTGGCCAGGATTTCTTAAATAAGTCACAAAATGCATAAACCAAAAAGAAAACATGACATGTTTCACCAAGATAAAAACTAGATATTGTTTAGCAAAGGACAACATAAAAAAGATAAATGGAAAACTGGCAGAAGACTCAAAATGTAATAAACTCAGCATCTGTGATGGCTAATCCTGGGTGTCAACTTGATTGGATCCGAGATTAACTGAAATGAAAGAGATCTTCTTGATTGGATCATCTAAAGCCGGAAGACACACCCTAAATGTGGGCGTTACCTTCTGATGGCAGCCGATATAAAAGACCAAGGCAGAGGAGAACACGGGGCTTTTGGGGGCTTGCCTTCTCTCTCTCTGGTGAGTTCATCTTGCTGCTGTAGACTGAAGACTAGCTGATATTTTGGAATTTGTCAGACCTTCAGCACCGGATTGGGACTACTGAGACATCCAGCCTTGTGGACTGAGGGACTACAGATTCTCAGCCTCTCCAGTATGGTGCAGCCATTGTTGGACTACTCGGACTCTATCCTGTGAGCTAAGCTGATAAATCTCTATACATATTCATTCTACTGCTTCTGTTTCTTTGGAGAACCCTGACTAATACAGTATCCAAAATATAAAAAATACTAAAAAGAAAAAGACAAACAGAAAAATATACAGCTTACCTGACTCAGCAATTAAAGAAGAATCAAGAAGGTGAATAAATAGGAAAGATGCACAGGGCACTGGTAACTGGGAATATGCATGTTGCAACGACATGGGGCACTTATTTCTCATCCATCATAATAGAAAACATGTTATAGTTTGGCAGTACCAAAAGCTGGCAAGTTATGGAACAATGAGACTCTCAAATACTGCTCTAAGAATATAGATTAAGGGCTGGGTGTAGTGCCGCATGCCTTTAATCCCAACACTCCGGAGGCAGAGGCAGGTGGATCTCTGTGAGTTCAAGGCCAGCCTGGTCTCCATAGCGAATCCAGGCCAGCTGGGGCTACAAGGAGACCGTCTCAAAAAGACCAAAAAGAAAAAAAAAAAGAATATAGACTAAGAAATCACTTTGGGACCCTCATAGTGGCTAACAACTGTCCATAACTTCAATTCCAAGGGATCTGGCACCTTCTTCTGACCTCCGAGGGCATTGTATGACGTGGATACACTTACACATATGCAGGCAATACACTCATACATATAAAATAAAAATAATTAATTAATTAATTTTTTAAAAGAAATCACTTTGGGGAGCTGGAGAGACTGCTCATGGATTAAGAGCACTGAATGCTCTTGCAGAGGACCAGGGCTCAGTTGGCAGCACCCACATGCAGACTAACAATTTACTGTAGTTCCAAGGGATCTGATGCCTTCTTCTGACCTCTGTGGGCATTCTATACACTGGTGCACTTACATTCAGACAAAACACTCATAAACATTAAAAATTTTAAAAAAAGAAATCACTTTGGAAGCCAAGTCGGCAATCACTATTACAAAGAAAGGAAAAAGTCAGGCATTGGTGGTTTGCACCTGTAATCCCACCATAGGAAGATTGCTGTGACTTGAGGCAAGCTTAGGCTACATAGTGAGTTCAAGGCCAGCCTGGACCATAGAGTGAGACTCTGTCTCAAAAAATTAAACAACAATCAAAAAGACAAAGAAAGATACAGCCTCTGATCTATGTGACAGGGACAAAGAGCATTTCACCCCTCTTTTACATACTAGGAAATGGAAACTCAGAGGAGTGAGATTTTTTTACTGAGTCTCCCAAGGCCACGTGAAAAGGAAAACATGAGCCCCTAAAGCCTTTTCCCTGCCCTAACTACACATGCCATACCTGACAAGTGTCCAGGCCCCATTCTGAGCTTGTGCACAGCATGTCGTTCCCAATAAACTTCTTCTGGTCCTTCAACAGGAGGAATTGGTACCGGTGATTGCAGATTTCAGTGCTCACAATCCTGACAGCCAAGCCCTGGAGACTGTAGGAGGTGTTGGAGGTCCCTACAGACAGAAAGATCTAGTCATCAATCTCAACTTTTGGACCTATTTCCAGTTCAGAGTCATCCGTGCTTGTAAATTGAGAAGCAGGGCCATTTCTTGAGACATTGATTTATAAAGGTTGCAGCTCACAGCCTGCATTAAAGGTCCCTACTCATTAAGGAAGCTAAACAAAAGTCTTCCAAAGGACTTGGAGTGGAAGCCATGCTTCCTCAATATTTCCGCAATAATACAGGTTCTGTGAGAGTATGCATTGGTCCTGGGCAAAGTGGTCAGACCCTAGGGCCTAGATGTGATACCTGCTAAAAGGCAGGCCCCACAAATGACCCTAGGTAGGACCCCCCGCAGAAACACCAACAGGGCCAGATCTCTGGAAATTATGGTTATATACTGACCAGAGAGGCTACCTCAATGTTTCAGGACCTATTAAGGTCATGGTCTTCAAGACAACTGCAGATACAGACCCCTATATATAGCCAGAGATGAATTTCCTATCATGCTGCAGACCAAGGACTTGGCACTGCAACAGGTACATCAAGCCTGATGACCTGAATTGGATCCCTGGGACCTACATGGCAGAAGGAGAGAACAGACTCCCACAGGTTGACCTCCATGTGTACACTGTGGCCCATGCACTTACATACACACACACACACACACACAATCAATCAATCAATCAATATCAATCAATCAATCAACCAATCAATCAATAATAAAAATAAGGGTTGGAAAAATGGCCCAGCAATTAAGAGTACTGACTGCTCTTTGGTTCCCAGGACCCATATGGTGATTAACTTCCAGAGGGATCCAAAATCCTCTTCTGATCTCCTCAGACATTGCATGACAAGGGTACACTTACAGACATGCAGGCAAAACACTCATACACTTGAAATTAAATAATACAATAGAAAATTTTTACTTAACTTTGGAGACTGAGGTCCATACAGGTCACTTGTCTGTCTCTTTTTAAATATATTTTATTTATTCTTTTTATTGTATATATATATATGTGAGTGCACTCGTGTCATGCAATGCCACGGAGGTCAGAAGAGGGCTTTAGATTCCCCTGGAACTGGAGTTAAGGACGGTTCATAGCTGCCATGTGGGTGCTGGGAATCAAACCCAGGGCCTCTGCAAGAGCAGTCAGTGCTCTTAACCACTGATCCATCTCTCCAGCCCCTACTATATTAGAATATGCTATTCTTATACTAGAATACTGTGCATATGGAATATGCATTAGGAATATGAAAGTGCTCAGGAAATGCTTGCAAATGACTGAGTATGTAAAGAAATGAGTAACCGCAGAGACATGTGTCTTGGGACCATTACTCTCCTGCACTCACCTTTAGATTTTTCATGTCCCCACCCGATGACCCAGCACATGGTGCCAATAGTTAGCTTGAAATTGTTGCTGGGGAGGCAGATGGGCTGGACGAGGGGGGACCAGGAGACAGGGTCCTTGAGCTTCAGGAGGGCAATGTCCTCAGACATGTGATTCTTGAAGTTCTCATGAATGGTGATGCCAGTGAGCAGGAGCTCAGAGCTGTTGTCTGGGAGGTATTCAACGCCCACCTTCACAGAGTACTGACTGGGGTTCTTGGATCTGCAGGCCCAGATAAGAGAAACATTACCATCCATGAGACCATCCATGAGTTCTGAGCACTGAGCCATCCAGGGCCAGGCCCTCTACTCCCAGATCCCCAGATTCACCAAGGTTTCCCAGGCATGAAAGCAAATCTCCTGGACCAAGGCAAGCCCCACCCAAACTGACCTTTGTAAGCAGTGTGCAGCTGTGAGGATCCACTGGCGGTGGATGAGGGAACCACTGCAGACATACATTCCCAGGAACAGGATGCTCACCTGCCATGGCCACTTGCCTACCTCCACCACCTTCCCCTTTATCACCTTGCAGAAGACATTGGTTTGACCACAGGTCCAGAACCAGGGCTCTGAGGAAAGAGGCAAAGAGAGGGCTATAAAGGGCAGCCTTCACTCCACTGATGACAGCAGACTGTCAAAACATTTCTTCAGCTGTGTCCCAAGCAGTCGCTGCCACCTCCATTAAGTGGTAAGGAGCTGATCCTACACCTCAAAACTGGCATCCACAGACCTAGTGGTAGCAGGTGGTCCACACTAATAAAGAAAGCCCCCAAACAATACGGACCAGACAAACTGTCTGAGGCTCGTTATAAGCCATCATCCCAGGACTAATTTTTGCCCATAGTTTACACAGGGGACAAGACTCCTGTTAAGTGTATCCAAAAGTACATGGACAGTGATGTTGTGTTGTACAACTGCAGCTGTGGATCACACCCTGGAGACAGAGGCTTGTTTCTGTCTTTCTTGCCTCTCACTGGCCTCAAGATCAGGGATGTAAGGACAGGAGATTGCACTAAACTGAATTGAAGAAAAGATTGAGATTTTATTTATTTCTGTTTTTCTTCTTCCTTTATTTTTATTTGTTAATCTAAAATTTTTTTCATTTATTATTTTATGTGTATGTGTGTATTGCCTGCATGTAGGCAAGTGCACCCGTGTTGTACAATGCCCACAGAGGTCAGAAGAGGCTGTCGGATCCCCTGGGACTGGAGTTACGGACAGTTGTTAGCTGCCATATGGGTGCTGGGATTCAACCCTGGGTCTCCTGCAAGAACAACCAGTGTTCTTAACCGCTGAGCCATCTCTCCAGCCCTTTATTTGTTAATTTTAAGACAGGGTCTCATGTAGCTCAGAATGGCCAGCCCAAGTAACTGAGGATAATGTTGAACTGCTTTTCCTGCTTCCACCTCCTGAGTGCTGGGATTACAGGTGTGCACCACCACAAGTGAGACTGAGAATTTTTTTCTTTTAATGAGACCAGCCTGGACTAGTATTTAATATTCTTCATGAGAATTTAAAAACTTATAACTGGGGGCTGGAGAGATGGCTCAGCAGTTAAGAGCACTGGCTGCTCTTGCAGAGGACCAGTGTTTGGTTCCCAGTACCCACATGCCAGTTAACAACCATCAGTTAACTCCAGTTCCAGGAGATCTGATGCCCTCTTCTGGCCTCCTTTGGTATTACATAATATGGGAGCACTTAAGTGCAGGAAAACTACTTACACAGATAAAATAAAAAATTTAAATAACTGAATATCACAAAGGAAAAGAAAGGGAGAAATATTCTATAAGTGAGGGTTAGAGAATGAGATTAAGGAAAAATAAAAAGATTTATTTATAGCCTGCTGCCAGTCTGAGCTGTTCAGTAAGCTGTCACGTGTGATCATAGATCTCTTCATACGGGTGGAGCTGGACATACTGCACTAGCACAAGCTGTCGTGACACAGAGTCTGTCCTTGGCAGTACACCATGCAGTGTGGATCTGTATCAGGACTCAGTAAGCAGCCAAGGCACTGGTCTAGGGGAGTGGGTGGTGGGTGGTGGCTGAGGAACAATGGATATCTATGGTGAATTGTACATCTTAGCAGAAACATCAACTAGGCCCCACCTTGTTGAAATCACTATGGTGTGGGTGTAATTTGAGTACCCCTCCAAAGGTCCATATGTAAAGGCTGGGCACTCAGGGAGTGATGTAGGAAGGTGCTAGAGACCTTTAAGATGTGGGGTCTAGGTCTGGGGAGAGAGCCAACATTGTACAAACATGAGGACCTGAGTTTGGATTCCTAGCCAGACATGGCAGCAGACATCTGTACCCCAACTGCTGGAGGACAGAGAAAGACAGGAAGATTCTGGGAGTTCTCAGGATGGCCAGTCTAAATGAAGCAAAGAACTCCAAGTCCAGTGAAAGACCTTGTCTCAAAACGAAGGTGGAGATATGATTGAGAAAGACATCCTGATGTCAGCCTCTGGCCTCTATATGTGCCCACATAGCTGAGGGCTCTCACATGTGCATACACACACTAAGGGGTGAGGTCTAGCAGAGGTCTTTAGGTCACTGAGGACGTGTTCTCAAAAGAGACTGTGGGACCCCACCTATCCTCTCTGCTTCCTCATTTTAGACCTGAGTACTCATTCCTAGGACAGGCACTTGCTGCTTTTATTTGAAGGTTCTCTCTCACCGTCCACCTCTACCCCATATGACAGATCTTAGACTTTGAATTTTGAAAACTGTGAGCTAAATATACCTCTTTTCTTCCTTTGTAGCCTGTCTCAGGGATTTCCTTGTAGCAGCACAAAACTAATACACAAATCATCCATGTTTGAGCTCATTCATACGACGAGGCCCAGAGCCACTATCAGGTGCAAATGGCCAGTTCCCTTGCCATAGGCTTGCGGCCTACTTTCAACTAGTGACCTTCTACAGGGATCCACATGCACTCCACGAACTCCCAATCTCCACAGGGTGCAGTCTTACTTTCTTGCTGAGGTTCCTGTCCACATATCGTCCCACTGCCTGTCCTATTTTCTCATCTCCCAAAGGGAGCCACTTTTCTGGACCCCCTCATATACCATGGTGAGCTCACAGATGCCTTCCATTCTGATTAGTTTGTCCCAATCAAGACTGTTCCTTGCTGGTAGGCAGGAGAGGCCATAAGAAGCTGGCCCTTTCCTTTCTCATAAAGCTGTGGCCCTAGAAAGCCAGATTATGCAAAAAAAAAAAAAAAAAAAGGAGCTCCAACATCTCCACAGGCAGTGAGGATGACCCTCCCTTCAATGTTCCCCACCCTCTGAGGATCTTTGGGTCTCTTCAGATCTCAAGATCTGAAAAGCAGCTCTCTTCAGATCTTGTGTCCAAGACCACACTGACTCCATCCTCCTTCCACTAAACCTTATAAAGGACTTTAAGGATTCTGCTCTGGAGATGCCAGCACCAGGTACTTGCACCTGGTACTAAGCACAGAAGGCAAACAGGGTGGGGGTGGGGACATGATGGATTATTTGTAGGTGCAATATGTTGCAGATCAATCTTGTTACCATTCCATATGCAGTCAGTGGTTCATTCCAGAAGCTAAGAACCATCACTTACAAACAGGATCCTTATATTCTTTTCCACATTCAGACATGGCCACCAGAAGATATATATTGGCTTTATGGACTCCATTCCTATAAGGCCATAACCAACATGCATTCCCCTCACCAGAGGCACAACATTCAATGACTGCACTCGCACCTGTGGCCACACATATCCTAAATCATCCCAAAACATCACTAACACTTGAGAGGTATACAGTGAAGTTCAGGGTTGAAGACCACCCATTTATTCAGTCACTCACTCATTCAATGAGGCACTTATCCAGGAGAGAGAGTGTCACACAGTGATGGAAAAAGATAGTACCTGAGTTGGAGGATACATTTCCCACTCAGTCACCACCCCAGATCAAGCACAAAATATCTGACTAACAAGTGACTTGAAGTAGGGCTGCTACCACAGAAACCACCTGTGGTAACTGGTGAGGATGGTAGCCTGGTTAGCCTCTACCACCCAAACTTTTCAATCCCAAAGAATCTATTGAAAACTGGTTTTGAATTCTGGTTCCACCACTCATAAGCCTCTGAAACTCTCTGGGTCTGGGTTCCCTGTCTGAAAGAGTGGCCCCACTACACAGCGTTGAGGTGTAAGCCGTCTCACCAGGGCTTGGTAGAATGAATGGGCACTCTCACCTCAGTTTGTGTCACAAGTCCTGAACCTCCAAGACACATTCATCTATACCATAGATGTCAGTTTGTTCCCCATTTTTGTTCCTTCATGTGTTTGTGGTCACCATGGAAATTGGAGCTGGCCGCACACTGTAATGGGTCATGTGGGTCTCTGTAAGGTCACAGCCCACACCCATTCTATCAGTCTACTGAGGATGTACCCATCTTAGTGTTGACAGATGGAGGCTCTGCAGCCATGAAGACAACTGATGTAGACACCAGGCAGTCACAGCCCTCCTGCTTCTGCCCATGCCCTACCTTCCATAAAGGGCTGAGTCCCAAGTCTGGCAGAAGCAAGTGGGGATGGAAGAAGACCCTGAGGATCCACTGATCCACACTCCATGGCAAGGAGATGTCCAGCCCTTTTACTGTTCCTTATATTATAACAAGAGGGCAGAGTTGACAGGCATCTCCATGGTGCAAGGATTCTAGAACTCACGGTTCTCTACCCCCAAGTTGGGGGCTTATGTCTGCTGAAGCCCCTTGAGGGCCTGCCACAACCATGAAGTCCATGAAGTGAGGTTAACAGGAACCTCCCTGGGCCTGTGACTGTGCCTGGCCCATGGCAATGTTCCTTGAGCCCAGCACTTAGCAGTGTACCTGATGCCCATGGGGGCCTTGATGGTGCCCCCATACCTAGCCCGTGACCTCGTCATTTGTCTGGCTCCTGTTAGCACTAGATATGTGGTTTGTGACAGTGTCTATGGCTGGCCTATGAAACACCCCTAGTGATGAGCCCCTAGAGGTATAGAAACTGAGGCATGACCAATTCCTATAGTGTATGATTGCTGTGCAACCAAGATTTCCTTTTTCCCTTGGACTGTGTTTTCAAAAAGAGCGGCTCCTGAGTAGAGGGAGGCCGGGTGGGTGGGTGTGGGCTAGTTAGATGGCTTCTTCACACAAAGTGGCTTGCAGGCTTCAGTCTTTATCAATCAGCAGAATGAATGACATCTTGGGACACCTCTGCACCCCTTCACCGAAGTACTTTCTTCTCTAAGGATCTGTGCACTTCACATGGCCCATGAGGGTCTCTCACTGCTGCTATAGCCCGTTGCCAGTGTTGTTAAGGGCATGATATGACAGCGTTTTTCACATGATGTTGAGGGAGATGAACTGGCATGAATGTTGGAAAAAATTGAAACTATCTAGTAGGGCAGTAGATGTATGGATGCCACAACCCAACCTTAGCTCCTAGAAACAATCGAAGTGGCAAGGAAGATTGCACAAGACTCTTCATAGCGGGCTTTGGGGGTGCCTCACTGGAACCTGTCCAGCTGCTGCTTCAGAGTATAGATGGGAGATTGCTCACTGGCACTGAAAATGGACGGTCTGTGGCCGGGCTGCGCATAGCTCCTCGACAGTCCCATGAACAAACATACTGAGGGAATGAAGTCACACACAGAAGAGCACCTGCTGGGTGATGTTTGAAACAAGCCAGACAATGTTTTAGGAATGTGTGGTACAAAATTAAGGAACTGGCAATGCCTACAACCAGATGACCTCAACGTGATAGAAAGACACAGAAAACAGAGACAAGGTGGGTAGAGAACATCCAAGAAGAAAAACCTTACCAACCTAATTGTCTCTGTGGAAAATAATGCTTTCTTTCATAAATTTCTCTTCAGGGAGGGCAGGGGACGACTGATCAATAAAACAAAGATAACCAAATAACAATTAAGCACATTTGTTATCAGAATTAATCCAAATGTATAAAATTATACTTTAATTTTTTAACTTATTTGTTTTAAGTGTATGAGTGTTTTACCTGCATGTATGTAAGTGTGCCATGTTCCTGCAGTGTCCATGGAGGCCAGAGGGCATTGGATCCCCTGCCATGTGGGTGCTGGGAACCAAACCCAGGGCCTCTACAAGAGAAATGAGTGCTCTTAACCACTGAGTCATTTCTCCAGCCTATAAAATTCTACTTTAATTTTTTAAATTTTATTTATCATTTTTATTATATGTGTATGAGTGTACTGCCTACGCATATGTAAGTGCACCTGTATCGTGAAATACCCATGGAGGCAGAAGAGAGCATCAGATTCCCCTGGAACTGGAGTGATGGATGATTGTTAGTCCCCATGTAGGTGTTGGGAAGTGAACCTGGGTCCTCTGTAAGAGCAGCCAGTGCTCTTGACTGCTGAGCCATCGCTCCAGCCCTAAAATTCTACCTTTTCTTTTCTTTTCTTTTTTCTTTTCTTTTCTTTTTTGAAACAAGACCTCCCTGTAGCCACAACTGGCCTGGATCTCGCTATGGAGACCAAGCTGGCCTTGATCTCACAGAAATCTGCCTGCCTCTGCCTCTGCCTTCCAAGTGCTGGGTTTAGAAGTGTGCACCACCACACCCAGTTCAGTTCCAAAATTCTACTTTTAAAAGACAGATTTTTATATTGGGTAGAAAAAATAATCGCTCACATTCTACTTATTAGAGACATACCTAAAACAAAGGCAAATGAGGGAGTAAAAGTAAAAAGATGGGCAAAAATATGTTATATATATGTAAAAATAGAAATGGCGAGGCTAGAGAGAAGGCTCAGGGTTATGAGCACTGACTGCTGTTGCAGAGGACTCAGGTTCAGTTCCCAGCACCCGTATGGCAGCTAACATCCATCCTTAACTCCTGTTCCAGGAAATCCTACGCCTTCTTCTGGTCTCTGCCTATACCAGACATGTATGTGGTGCACTTATATATACACAAGAAAAACTCTCATACACATAAAAATAAATAAAATCTTTGAAAAGTATGCGGGCTCCAATGGTGGGGGGAGGCTATGGGAGGGTGCCATTTGGGAGGCAGGTATAAAGATGCATAAAATTGTTTGGGATGTTCTGTATGAAATACACACACAAAAAATCAATCAATAAAAGTATAAATGACAGGGCTGGAGTGATAGCTCAGTCATTGAGAGCAATGGTTGCTCTTGCAGAGGACCCGGATTCAATTCCCACTACCCACATGGCAGCTAACAACCATTCATAACTCCAGTTCCAGGGGATCCGACGCCCTCTTCTGACCTCTGCTGTCATTGCATGACATGGGTGGGCTTAATATACATGCAATACACTCATACACATAAAATAAAAATAAACAGAAATGACAATGCTATCTGATAAAAATAATTCGGCAACCAGGTATAGTGGACTGCACCTGTTCAAGGGAGGAGGAGGCAGGAGGATCAGTTCAAGGGCATGCTCAACTATGCAGAAAGTTCAAAGTCAGCCTGACATGCATGAAGCTGTATCTCAAAAAGTAAACTAACAAGCAACAAAAGTGATTCAGAAGTTTTTAAAGAAAAAGATTACCTTGTATTTTAAAAATGTAAATTGCAGTGTGTTATATGTCCCGTAACATAAGATTCTGTGCAGCAATGAAATAAAATCAACCAGCGTGCAGAAAAGCGGTTCATGAGACATTGAAAACCCTCATTTGCAGTGGCAGTCTCTTCCAGTTCCCTGTCATTCTAGGACGGAATAGCCACGGTCATCTGCACACTAGACTAAGAAAACCACAACCTCCACGTTTTCTAAATGCTCAGTGAACCTGAACTACATCTTTTACCATGATACAATGAAGCAAGGATTTAATAATGAACAAGAGTAAATGAAACAAACCAAATTATTTTCAATTTAAAAAAATAAACTTTGTTGGGTTTTGAAGCTGTAGCTGAATTCATTCACTATACCAAAAAATAAATAGGAAATGAAATTATGAGATAGTCTATGTTAAATTATTTTGAAGAAAGAGACATGTTAAACTATTTAGCAAGTATTAATAATTAGAGTACTGCATTTTAAAGACACTGAGTATGCCTAAGAAAAATTCATAATGTTAAAAGAATTTATTATTGAATAACAAAGGGTAAAAATAAATTAAATACTCAAATCATATACAAAAAGTACAAACTAAATCCAAGGAAAGCCTACAGGAAACATGTACAAAATAAAAAATTAAGTCAAACCTGGTGATGCAGACCTGTAATCCCAGTTCCTAGAGAGGCTGAGGCAGGAGAAAAACATGAGTTCCAGGCCAGTCTGAACTCTAGAGTAAGTTCAAGGCCGGCCTAGGCAACTTAATGAGATCCTGTCTCAAAAAGTAAAAAGAGGGCTAGAGATTTAGTTAAGTGGTAGATTACTTGCCTAGCATATGTGAGGGCCCTGGGTTCAATCACAATGAATTAGTAATAAATTAAAAAATAAAATAAAATGATAGTTAATTAGAAGAATGTCCAGAATGAGAATGGACTCTATTAAATTTGGACCTTTGAGAGGCTGGGGAGATGGTTCAGTGGGTAAACTACTTGCTATGCAAGCTCTGAGGACCTGAGTTCAAATCCCCAGAACCCACATAAAGCTAGTAGTGCTCATGTCTGTTATCTCTGGAAGCTCATGGGACAGCTAGCCTGACGTGCCCAGAAGAAGTCGTGCAAGCCTGGTGACCTGAGTTCAGTTCCTCGAACCCACATAAAAGCAGAGAGAATGGACTCCACAAAGTTGTCCTCTGACTTCGACACCCACACCATAGCACGCGTACCCACACATATACATCACAATACACACCCACACACTAATAAATTATTTTTTTTAAACCGAGAGACCTTGTCTCAAATGAGGTAGAATTGAGGACTGTCCTATTGCTGTGATAAGACACTCCACCCAAAGCCACCTTGGAAGGAAAAGGCTTATTGCATCTTATAGCTGCTTACTGGCTTGCTCAGTTACCTTTCTTATACAGCCCAGGCCCACCTGCCCAGGGATGGCACCAGCAACTTCACTTCACTCAACAATCAAGGAAATGCCTCACAGACATGTCCACAGGCCAATCTGATAGAGGTAATGCACCAACTAACGTTCCCTCTTCCCAGGTGTGGCAAGTTGAAACCTGACGCTATCCAGCACAAGGTTGTTCTGGGGTTATTCTCTGACCTCTACACATGTGGTATGGCACACATATACCGCCATTCACACACAAATGTGCACGTACACACATGTACACAAAAATGTTAAAAATAATAAAAATAAACTGTATCTGAAAAAAAACTATTAAATAGGACAAAATGCATATTTTTACATGGTCAGTGTGTGGCCCACTATGGTGGAACAGCAGGCATGAATGAGCCTTGCACTCCTACCAACATGGCTTTGAAACATACAAATCAAGAATAGTAAGAACTCAGATGGGGGTGATGGCTCATGTCTGTCTCCCAGCACTTTGGAGCCAGGAGCATCACTACAAGTTCAAGGCCAGCTTGGCCTACGTACAAGTTTCAGGCCAGGCAGGGCTACACAGCAAGACCCTGTCCCAAAAAAGTGGAAAAACCATATAATGTTCATTATATTGATAAATTGATAGGTTGTTTGAGCTTGTGGAGAAGCTGGTTCTGGAAGCAGGGCTGCCTCCACCTGCACTTCAGACTTAAGCATGTTTGTCTCAAAGCATCCTCCAAGGCCCCTTGTGTGGGATGGGCTGGCCCCTTCATTCTGTGGCAGGGAAGGAAGAGAATAGCAAAAGGCCCAAGAGTAAAAACATGGTGCTCTTTGAGAACAGCTGGAAAGTGATCATTTCCAACCCAGGTTACTCCTGTTTAATCCCATGATGTAAAACTGCTGTGTTAGGAAAGAAAACAAGACACCCAACTGTGGGAAGCTCATCCATGGAGAGAGAGAAAACTCAATCAAGAACTCAGCTGACTGCCTCAACTCCCCCAGTCAGTTTTTGCTACATTTTGTGAGCATGGATGTAATGATGCTATCTCTATCTGTTGCTATTTGTTCTTTTACTTGGAAGCATCACCTGAGGGAGCACACTGCTCTGACTGCGACTCTCCGTAGGGATCTTCAGCTGGCTGCCTTAAAGGGGCTATCAGTCAATTTTTTTATATATATTTTATTTATAATTTTTATTTTACATGTATGAGTGCATTACTTGCATGTAGATAGGTGCACCCATGTTGTGCAATGCCTGTGGAGGTCAGAAGAGGGTGCTGGATCCCCTGGAATTGGAGGTATGGATGGTTGTTAGCCACCATGTGGGTGCTAGAAATCAAACCCACGTCCTCTGCAAGAACAGTCAGTGCTCTTAACTGCTGAGCTATCTCTTCAGCCCCACAGTCAATTTCTTTTCAAAAAATATCTATTTTATGTGTGTGTTCCTGAGTGTCTAAGTGCACCACATGTGTGCAAGTGCCTGCAGAGGTCAGAAGAGGGTGTCAGAACCTCAGGAACTGGAGTGACACAGGATTGTGTGCTGCCATGTGGGTGCCGGGAATTAAACTCTGATCCTCCGCAAGAGCAGTAAAGGCTCTTAACCTCTGAGTCATCTCTCCAGCCCCCTTGATATTTTGCTATCTATCTATCAAACTATCTTATTTTCTGCTTGCTACATACTTAATAAATTCATTCAAAACCAAAAGTATGGCTATTGTAGATTGTTCTCCAAAGCATACAAAGCATCCAAGAAGAAATGGACAATCTTTACTTCCTGTGATAAACCTCTCAGAAATCAACAGATTATGTAGACATAAAGCACATGAGGGGTTGAATTGATTTGGTTTGGGTTTGGGTCTTTTTTTTTTTTAAACCGGGTCTCCCTGTAGCCCCAGCTGGTCTAAAATTCACTATGTAGACCAGGCTGGCCTCAATTTCACAGAGACACCCCTCCTCCTCCATGCCTTTGCCTCCTGAGTGCTAGGATTAAAGGCGTGCACCACCATGCCTGGCATTGTTGAAATGATTTGAAGAACACAATTGACAAGCATGAACCAATCAGCTACAGCTCAAACTTTGTTCCAAAAAAAGGGCTTCAACTCAAATGCACATGAAATGCTCAAACTGAGCAAATATTAGGCTTTACTGTGTTTTTTATCTTTCTAAAATGAGTGCATAATACTTTCATGATCAATTTAAAGAAGAGACACAGAAAAGCAAGCTGAGTTTGGAGTACTGTCTCTGGATCATTCCTACTGTCAGCCTCCATGGCATATTTCAATGGCTCCCTGTTCAAATGGGACTTTACAGATGTAGAAACTGAAGCCACAGGCCCAGCCCCCTATTCCTCTGTCCCAGTACTAGAAACATTAAAAACCACAGAGAGACTCCTGGTGAAACCAACTCCAGGGGATTGTGGTGGTATGAATGAGAAGTGTCCCTCCAGTCTCAGTCTTTGAATACTTTGTTAGTTGGCAGTGCTGTTGGGGGTGGGTCATGGAATCTTTAGGAAGTGTGGCCTGCTGGAAGAAGTGTGTCCTGGGGGCAGAATTTGAGAGTTCACAGTCTTTCCCCATTTCCAGTTTCGCTCTCTCTGCTTCCTGTGTGTACATGGAGAAGTGAGCTCTCAGCTTTTTGTTTTGGCTGCCTCCTGCCATGCCTTCCACCACGGTGGACTCGTACCCCTCTGGAACCATAAGCCAAATAAAATCCCCCTTCTCGGCAGGGCGTGATAGCCCACGTCTTTAGTCCAAGCACTTGGGAGGTAGAGGCAGGTGGATCTCTGAATTCAAGGCCATCCTGGTCTGCACAGTAAGTCCCAGGCCAGCTGGGGCTACAGGGAGACCCTGTCTCTAAATGACAAAAAAATAATCTCCCTTCTCTAAATTGCCTTGGTCATGGTGATTTATCACAGCAACAGAAAAGTAACTAACACAAGGAGCTTCCCTCCCACCCATCCCAGCCCCCAGAGCCACCCCTAGAGAATGGGAAAAAAAGAATCAACTCATATTTGCACAAATTTAATCCCTGTCATGCTGGTCTTAGATTCCAGAACACTTCCAAGTCACACTCCCCTTCTCCTGGTCACCCAAGATCTCATTAGTCATCCACCACACCCCTCCCTGCAAAGGACCAAAGCAGGACCCAGGTTCTCCAGGGACCACTCCATAACCACCTTGACTCTGTGGAATATGGACACAGGCCCTTGCTCGATCATTCATCTGGTACCATTGAGTAGAGGCAAAGCAAGAAGAGGAAAGGGTGGAGAAGTCACTGGCCCACTGGGAGTTGCAGCAGCCAGGTCAGGAATAGGAGCCAGTAGGAGCTGCAGGGCCCTGACAATGCCCCATGGTTCACTTGCTTCTTGATCCATCTGGAATACTTGGTGAGGCGAGTGTACACGCCTGGATTCCATGGTTTGATGCAGGCTTTCTCCCATGACAACACCCCAGCCAGAATCCATCTGCCTTCAACTTCACAAGACAGTGGACCACCAGAGTCCCCCTGGGCAAAGACAAAGGAACAATGAAGGCTCTGCTGGGACTAGGAGCCCTGCATTGCCCACCCTCTCAGTTCCACTTGGAAGAGTGACTTCTCAAGGATCTCACTAACTGTGGCCCCTTTGGCTTCTCAGTTGGAGACAACACCTCCAAACTGCAGCCACTATCAGTCACAGGGGAAGGATGGTGAGATCAGAGCCTAGTGATGATAAAGAGAGAGGCCAAGTCAACCCTGTCCCAAGGACCAGGCTTCCACCTAGGACTCACCCCCAGAAGGAGAGTTGCCAGAATCCCTCAGAAACTCACATAGCACAAGTTCTCTCCATAATTCGTGGCACAGATCATGTTCTCCCGGACAAGGGGCACAATTCGAGGATAGAGGGACTTCTTGTGGTAAATCTGGTCACACCTTTTATTGTCCATGATGAACACCTCAGCCTCCTGCAGCTCTGGGGTCAGCGTCCAGTTGGCTGTGGAGGAGACTAAGGGATGAGCAGGGATTCTGGGCTCTGCCTTTCCTACCCTCCAGGTCACTCCAGGAGCTCCCTCCTGTCACGCCTGTGCTCCCAGACCTTCAAATGATCTTTCCTTTGTAGTAAGGACCCAACATGGCAAGCCCCTCCCCATATAAGGCTTTGATTTAGGATCCTTTAGGAAGATTTTACTGCTGAGCCCAGAAGGCCACCAAGTTCCAGTGCAGCCACTTACGACTTGGGATCCCAACCACACACGTGCTTTTTCTCTCCACACTGAACTTAGCAGAGGCTGTTCCTCAGCCATCACTGACATCTGCTACTTCTTTAGGCATATCAGGTCCTCTGTCTGCCCAGAGCTCAGCTCAGATCCCCTGGGCTTGATCCCAAGATCTCCTGATAAGATCTTTGCCATGTTTTGTTTTATTTTTGAAACAGAGTCTCCTATAACCCAGGCTGGCCTTGAGCTTATATAGCCTAGGCTGGCCTTGAACTCCTGATCCTCCTGTCTTCACCTCTCTAGTCCTAGAATTACAGGTGTTCACCATCACACCTGGCTTCTTTGTCACTTTCTGAATCAGCCTGTGTCCCACCCTCTACCCCTGTGACTTCCTTTCAGGCAGACATGCATTTCTAAGGCCAAGGGCTCAGTGTGTGGCAACTGCTTCATTGTGGCAAGTGAAGGAGATAGGAAGGGAGGAGCAAACTGATCACTCCCTGACCCCAACCCAGGCAGTAACAAGCCTGACTGAGATGCCTGCTTAAACTGTGACAACATGTAATCACCACATGAGGAATGTCTAACACTCCAAACCTAGGGGCCAAACACCACAGCCATAGCCTCCTGAGGGACACGACAGGGGATGGGGCAAGAAAGGCCCAAATGGGTACCCTACCCCATCCCACTCACCCAAGGAGCGCTGTTTAGCCTGGCTCCAGCCAGTCACCCAGCACTGAGTCCCAATCTTCAAGTTGAAGCCGGGCTCTGGGAGACAGATGGGCTTCACGTACTTGCTGAAAGTAACAGGAGTTTGAAGACGGAGAAGGGCGACATCATTTCTGATGAAAGTCCCGCCCCAGTAATTGGGGTGCACAATGATGTCAGTCACAGGAATCATCAGGGCCCCAGTGGAGCTCTTGGGCTGTAGCTTGGTGGTGCCAAGCATCACTGAGTATTCTTTGGAGCTACAGGAAACAGAGAACCCCATTTGGTAGACAGCAGCTTCCCACACAACTATGTACCTACCTCCTCACAGGACCCTCTCTCTCCCTTCTCAGAAGTCCTGCTTGACTTGCTATGTCCACCCCATCTGGCCTAATCCAGCCCTCTTATTGATTCAAGGGATATGGGTGTCACGTTGATTCAAGGGATATTGATTTAAGTCACATTGATTCAAAGGATATGGGTGTCAGTGCCCATGAATATTCTCTGAGGGTTCAGGAGTGGTGGTATCTGGGTTTTCCTGTGCCTAGCCTCTGTTGCTTAGAGGTTCTACCTCAGTTTAGTCTCTAGAGTCTATGAGATCCTGACTATGACCCTCCCTGTACCGGATGCCTCTTCCCACTCTTCTCTATCCTCCTTCTGCATTGTTTCACATACGTACTAAGGAAGCTGGGCTGGGGCCATTATAGCTCTGGGTCTTCAGACCTGGGATACATGGGCCACACTCACCCTTGGATGCAGTGAGCAGCAGACACCACCCAGCTGAAATCAATGAGGGAACCTCCACACACGTGCTCATTCTCTGTCCGGAGGCTTACCTCCCAGGGCCAATGTTGGATCTCATTCATGTTTTCTGGCCACCAGGGCTTGCCACAAACTTCAGGAACAAGCATGCCAGAGAGTACAGTGACTGCAGAGAGGTAAGCAAGAATGACTAGAACCAGTCACCTTCCAGGGTCAAGTTGCACAAGGCTGTAAGGCCAGGGGCTTCAACCTACTTCAAAGAGGGGAGACTAACAGAAGGGGAGAGAAGGACAGTGTCTACCAAGGGCACTAAACTAGACAAGAAATGACAGATAGAGATACCTCAGCAGGAGATACTGAGATTCACAGGGAGCAATCTATGCAGAACCTCAGAGTGACAGAGAAGCCGAGCAGGGCAGGAGCCTCAGGACGAGGAATGCTTTGCTTTGCTTTTTTCTGGTCTTTTTGAGACAGGGTCTCCCTGTAGCCCCAGCTGGCTTAGAACTCACTATGTAGACCAGGCTGGCCATGACCTCACAGAGGTCTGCCTGTCTTTGCCTCCTGAGTGCTGGGGCTAGAGATGTGCACCTTCACACCTGACAAGAAACGCTTTTTTTTTTTTTGCATCTGGACCATGCCTTTGAAAAGTCACAATGTTGACTGCATCTCTTTGATGCAAAAGGTCCCCATACTGCTCAGAGTCAAGAAAAGCTACAGATTTCTCTGCCATCTTTACCCTGAGTAGTGCAGAGCTAGCACACTCTGATTAGTTTGCCTACTGTTCTACCAGTCAAGTTATATGAATGTATGAATGGACATAGGTGCGGAGATTCTAAATACACTACAATGTGCCCTAACCATGTATAGATCCCCCAGAAGTGAATAAGAGGGTGGTCCCAGAAGTAAGAGGGTGGTCCCAGAAGTGAGAGGGCGGTCCCAGAAGTGAGAGGGCGGTCCCAGAAGTAAGAGGGGGGTCCCAGAAGTGAGAGGGTGGTCCCAGAAGTAAGAGGGTGGTCCCAGAAGTGAGAGGGCAGTCCCATATTGGAAGAGCTGCAGTGCATTCTCCACTTGAGTGTTTCTAATAATCTACAGTGACAAAGATCTGCCGTTACTCTCAACAGACAAAGAAAAAGAATTTGAAAATTTCAAAACAGGGGCTGGGGACATAGCTCAGTTGCTAGGGCGCTTGCCTAGCATGTAGAAGTCCTGAGCTTAATCATTAGCACCACAGAAACTGGTGATGCATACCTGTAATCCCAGCATTCAGGAGGCAGAAGCAGGAGGATCAGAAGTTCAAAGTCATCATGGACTACTACATAGCAAATTTGAGGCCAGCCTGGGATATATAAGATCATAACTCAAAAATGAAAAGGAAAGAAGAGAGGGAGGGAGGAAGGGACGGAGACAGGAAGGGAAGGGGAGGAAAAAATAAAAATTCAAAATATATTTAAGACTTTTACAAAAGCCAAGGAGCTGGAGAGATGACTCAGTGGTTAAGAGCACTTGCTGCTCTTCCATAGGACCCAGGTTTAATGCCCAGCACCCACATGGCAGATCACGACCATCTACAATTCGAGCTCCAGGGGATCCAACATTCTCCTCTGGCCTCCTCAAGCACTGCATGCGCATAGTATACTTACATACATAAAACAGAACTAAGGCAAACACTCACACGTAAAACAGAAGTTTTAAAAGTAAAGCTAGGCACACAAGGCAAAGGGGCTTGCTGCCAATCCTGATGACCTGAGTTTGATCCTCAGGGTCCACATGGTGGAAAAAGAGAATCAACTCCTGAAAGCTCTTCTCTGACCTCCACACCAGTGCTGTGAGCAAGTACAACACACACACACACACACACACACACACACACACACATACAAACACACATACACAAATGTTAAAAAGTAAAGTCTCAGAAAACCAGAAAGAGAAAGGAAATATTCAACTTTATAAAACTTAAATATCACAAACCTGTAACAAATACACATTAAAGGATGAGAGAGAGAGAGAGAGAGAGAGAGAGAGAGAGAGGAACTGTACCGTCAGAAGCCAGGACGAGGGTACTTTGTGGGGAGTACCCTTTTAATATACATATAATTACTCCAATGAAACAATTTTCTTTTAAAGTCACTAGCTTCTCTCTCCCAGTAAAACCAACTACAAAATATACTGGACATGCTTTCAGTAACACACAGAAATTAACCTAGCTAACATTACACAAGTACTGAATGGTAGAAACTAAAATTCTAACAAAAGACACAGAAAATAATGTTCCTTGCTCTTTAACAACGTGAATAAATATTTTAGATGTATTTTTCCCAGAATAATATCTACAAATTCATTTTCCACATTAGAATTTTTTTACACCTTGCCTTTGGGGAAGTGCACATAGTCATTGGATGTGGTCTTGGGTTTCATAACAGCATTTTCGAATGGGTGTATATTGTACTTTGAGACTTCCCCCACGTTCCCCCTCTCATTCCCCTTATCACCCCTTTGTCCTCCCATCATCCTTTTTTTCCCCTAGAGTTTCTATTTTCATAAAATCTAAGATCCACAAATGAGAGGAAATACGTGATATTTGTCTTTCTCCATGTTAGAATTTTTAAGAAACTTGACAGACTTACTCTAAAATTGATTTGTATCAATTTAAATGCCAGCACTCCAGGAGGCAGAGGCAGGTGAATCTCTGTGAGTTCAAGGCCGGCATAATCTATGTAGAAGTTCAAGGCCAGCTGGGGCTACATAGTGAGACCCTGTCTCAGAAACAACAACAGGGATAGGAGAGATGGCTCAGCAGTTAAGAGTGCCTGCTACTCTTCCAGAGGATCTGAGTTTTGTTCCCAGCACTCATGTCAGGCAGCTCACTACTGCCTGGAACTCTAGCTCCACAGGATCCAATGCCCTGGCCTCTGTAGGCATCCATGCACATGTCATACACACAGAGACACACATACATATACATAAATTTTAAAATAATAAAAATTAATCTAAATAAACAGCCGGGCTGGTGGCACATGCCTTTAATCCCAGCACTTGGGAGGCAGAGACAGGCGGATTTCTGTGAGTTCAAGGCCAGCCTGGTCTACATAGTGAGTTCCAGGACAGCTGGGGCTACAGGGAGACCCTAAAAAGACCAAAAAAAAAAAAAGAAATATTATAACCAGGAACATATATGCACCCAATTTCATAAAAACAATAACTTTAAATATTAACGGACTGAATCCCCTGGTTAAAAGACACAGACTAGGTGAATGGATTAAGAAACAAAACCCATCTTTTTGTTGTCTGTAAGAAACTCATCTTACTTTCAAGGACAGACAG